TTCAGGAATGACACAATGGGGTTTCCTCCTTATTATTTAATTAATACACTTCCAAGTCTTTTGGATACTGCCTCTCACGGACTGAAACTTATTTAAATAATATTCCTTTGTACATATCTTATATCTTTATTCAGCTTATTCCGAAATGTTTCAAAATTAGGTCAAATGTGACTGACAGAGAAGCAATATAATCAAATATATTTTGTATTGTATTGTATTTTGTATTTATTAACATTTATTTCCTTCTCAACAGCACAATATAAAACACAATGTATATATACATGATATATGTAACAATTATTTCAACATAGAGTATACAGTAATTAATTCAGATACGGAAGGAGGCGAAAACCCGGAAAGCGTAGCTTGAGTTGGGAACGCCCATAATAAATTAACACAGTTACCGAAAGAACATTATAGATATTATTATGAAAATTACATTGTATATAATAGAACGTTGATAGGAAAGAAAAAATAGTGAAAGGAAGAGAGGAGAGAATTAAGTATAGGAAGGCATGTTCACTTATTAAGAGAAAGTTACATCAATTGGGCTGTACATGTGTCTGCGATTACATCATAAAGATAACGAAGTACAATTGTAAAATAGACAGCGGGTACATATCATTACAAACAAGCAAAATCATCAAACAGACAACAGCTTTATCCGACAGCATTGTCCTGGGAATATACAGATGGTACTAGTAACAAGTTATCAAAGTAAATAAATAATCGGTCATACAAACATGTCATTAAATTCCACAAAAGATCATTTCACACATAAATACAAGAGAGGGTATCAATATCGAGCAATTAAATACATTTTTGCCTTACGGGAAAAAGTCTGCAAGGAGAGCGATTTGTGTAGAATAGATGGTAAGGTGTTCCAAAATTTTGGCCCAGAGTATCGAATGTCAAATTGAAATCTTCGGGTTCTATGTTTAGGGAGACGAATGTTGGCAGCGCTTCTCGTATTATACGTATGGGTTTCCGAGTTGCATTTAAAATTGATAAAATCACTAAATTGTGATGGGAAGATGTTATTCATGCTTTTATACATGAAAATACCCTGTTTGTGCAAGTTAATATCACTGAATCTCAAGAAAATAATTTGTTTAAAGATGGGACCAGTATGGGAACGATAGTGCATTCCGGATATTATACGAATAATCTTCTTCTGCAATAGTATAAGCTTTTGTATTTTGTACTTGCAGGAATTCGCCCAAACAAGATTACAGTAAGAAAAATATGGAAGTATAAGAGCACAATATAGCATACGTAGAATGTGATTGGGCAAGAGATGTTTGAGTCTGGATATAATGCCAATGTTTTTGGACACCTTACTTTCAACTTCGTGAATATGGTATTTCCAAGACAAGGAACTATCTAAATAAACGCCAAGAAATTTGACTTTATCTACCCTTGGCAATATGACATTATCAAGAACAATATTGAAATCATTTAAATCTACATTCTTTCCATTGTGAAAAATCATATAATTACATTTCTTTACATTTATAGATAATTTATTAGATTTGAACCATTCACATATATATGTAAGACCTGCATTTACTGCATCCATAAGAGACTTCAAGTTTGAATCTCTGTGAAATATGTTTGTGTCGTCTGCATACAGTATAAAAGACAATTCATTAGCAGATTTATAAATATCATTCACATATAATATAAATAACAATGGCCCAAGCAGGCTACCCTGTGGAATTCCGCATGTTATTGTTCTAAACTCCGAAATAGAAGATTGATATTTGGTACATTGTAATCGATTGTTAAGATAACTGGTGAAAAATTTAAGAGCTACACCACGTATTCCATAACGATATAGTTTAGATAGTAAAATATTGTGATTAATTGTGTCAAATGCCTTAGACAGATCTATAAAAACTCCAATTGCAAATTCGTTCGCCTCAAAGGCGTCTATGACTTTACTAGAAAGGCTGGTAAGAGCCATACATGTTGAATAATCCCTACGGAAACCATATTGATGTTTATTGAGAATAGAATGTTTGTCAAGGAATTCAATAGTTCTTTTATAAACAATGCGCTCGAATAATTTAGAGAAGACTGAAGATATGAAAAATGTACAGGAAGGTTCATCATGAGGACTTCTGTCTCATGAATATACAAAAATGTTCATGAGATCACTGTCTCCTAGAAAGTACAAAATGTAGCAAATTGTCTCATTAAATGGAGTTCATCAGTTTTACATGAAAATTACATGAAAAATTTTGTCTCATGAGTATTCAAAATGTTCATGAAAATCACTGCCTCATGAAAAGTACAAAATGTAGAAGATATGAAAAATGTACAGGAAGGATCATCATGAGAAATTCTGTCTCATGAATATACAAAATGTTCCAGAGATCACTGTCTCCTAGAAAGTACAAAATGTAGCAGATATGAAAAATGTACAGGAAGGTTCATCATGAGAACTTCTGTCTCATGAATATACAAAATGTTCATGAGATCACTGTCTCCTAGAAAGTACAAAATGTAGCAAATTGTCTCATTAAATGGAGTTCATCAGCTGTTGTACATGAAAATTACATGAAAGATTTTGTCTCATGAATATTCAAAATGTTCATGAAAATCACTGCCTCATGAAAAGTACAAAATGTAGAAGATATGAAAAATGTACAGGAAGGATCATCATGAGAAGTTCTTTCATAATAATATTCTTCCTTAGGCTACGACAATTAAAATTTATAAATGATAACATACAATATAAAACATAATTTGCACATAATAACAATATCATCCAAGACAAGAGAGGTAGATAGATAGAGAGACACACAAACAGAGAGAATTTGATGAAATATTAACAAGAATGTAATCAATTACAAAATGTGTGATTTTACTAATTCATTAACTCATGGCAAAGTCGTTTAATTATAGTAAATATTTGAATTTTCTAATTGTTTCCTATTCTTATGGTTCACATAACACGATAGAAACTACTTTCGAAAATCAACCTGAAGCAATTTCAATAGCCTTGGCGTCACCCATTTGACATGATTGAACTGTGAGTGTTGTGTAATCCGAACATGTTTTCTTATCAGTATGTTCAATAGGGTATTGAAATTGACCTTGAATTGATTTACAGGTTATTCTAGAAACTTTGAGTATAATATGTTAGATACTTTTAATGTGCGCCATTTGAAGGGATATTGTTTGAGGACATAGGCCTATTCATGCACCAGTGCCTCATTATCAACTACTACTGAAGGTATGCATATGTGCCAGTGTATAAAACTCAGGAGGGTTTCATAAATATAGATGCCTAGTTTTAAATGAAAAGCCAGTATTAATTCCAAGGAAAACGTAATAACGCATGATTAATTTCCTATGAATTATAACTTTTGAATGAATTTCATTGAAGTAAATCCTTTCAACAATTTTGTCATAATTTGTATTCAATTTCAATTCAATTTATTTTACATCTCTTTACAAATATAGAATACCAATGAAAATTAAAGCAATATGAAGTTATATACAAAATGACATTACAAAAAGGTATATACATAGGTCTACATCATTTTATATAGATTTTTCTCACACTTAAAATGAGATTAAAAGAATAACAAGTGAGTAAATTTTATTCAACTCACTGCCAGATCCTAATCAAATGATTGGTCATGCGTGGTCACGTGTGATACAATTACTGAGCCTATTGCACTCGTTGTCATGAAAAGGAGTGCAATATTTTCCAGTACAATTGAACTCATTTTCAGAGCCCGCAGTAGTGCGCGTAGAGGTTAGCTTAATACTGCGTGTGCATGGGCCTATTCTTGCGCAGCACTATGCGTAAATGGATGTAGAGGTGAGTGCGCTTGCTATATATCTATACACTTATATATGCGCACTAAATTGAGACTTATTAAAACTTGAGATTTCTTTGTCAGCCATATACTGTCACGAAACAATCTTAATTCTTTTTACATCAAATAACAAGGATCTAGGAGCTTCGTTGTATAAAACAAATGATGCATGTTTTCATTCGTTCATTATACGATCTATCCGCCCTCGTTGATGCTCGAGTGCGGATAGATCGTATAATGAACTCATGCGCATGCATCATTTTGTATAATATATTACAATTGAAGGTGAGCGTAGAAAATATGACATAAGGAAGAAAAAAAAGACACATTACTAACATTGAAAAAAATAGTCAAATCAAAACATCCGTGGAATCGTATAGTATTAATGACTGCTTTGAGAGAAAAAGTTGTTTTTATACGCTCAAGGGAAGGTTACAATTGTGCTATTGCCCGAGTTTATGACTGCATTTTCGACCAATCAGATGGCTGGATTTTTAAAGTGAGGTATATAATAAAAAATAGTTATAACACACTCACCCACACGCACTACAACACACTCACCCACACACGCACGTCACATTCCAGCACACATAATGCAGCATGTAGCTTAAATTCTTGTCTTTCATGATAAAGGTATTTCAAGACAGTTACAATGTTAAAAAAATGGTTTACTACAAATTCCTCATTATAATGTTTATAACCAAAATGAGACCTATAGATTTGGCTACATCTGATACATAATGATGGCGTCAAAAATTGTTCTTGTTCGCCAGATAAAGAAAGTCAAAAGTATTAACGTGAAATAGCTCATTAAAAACATTCCGCCCATAATTACACCTATGCCGATAATTTCAGATACGATTAAAATGTACTCTAAGCCAAGATCCCATGATAATATTGAGGAGGAAAAAGAAGACAAAAAATAGGCATGATTATATTATGATTTTGCTCTTTTACGAACTCTGCCACCTTATTGTATTGACGCAAACTTGTATCCGATTTAAGTTTGCAATCCAATGGCTTGGAATTCTCATCAGATATAACGTGAGACAAAAGCAAATTAAATAATTTAAAATATTTACATTATTTCGGCAAAGTCAAAATTTCAAGGAGCAATTCCATGATTATTCTTTCAATTTCTTTCAATTTTACATAATCCTTTTTTATCGACTTTCATGATATTATAACATTTCGAAACAATCTGGATGTACTTCGTCAAGAACAGGAACGATAGCGGGTTGGATAACCCTTTCCAGCCTCTGAAATGGAGAAAAACAAAATGAACAATCAGGCCTTTTGTTGAACATGTGGAAAGACACAAATGTAAAAACTAGAAGAATCCTCAATTTTATTGAAATGCAGCAATGTGATAAATGAAAGGCAGTTATACACTTTGGTAATATTAATGGTCAGAACCAAAACAAAAAAAAAGGGAAGGAAAAAAAACACTCTTTATCAGAACAACTACCACGACAATCACTCCCTTTGGTTTGAATCTACTCCAAAAAAAAATGGACTGGCAGAAAGAGAGTGGTTTAATAACTCTTTTGGGAGTGAATTGCACTATTCATGTTTCAGCATGGAATGGATTTCCACTTTTGATAAAGTGATCCCTTGTATGACCCCCCCCCCCCCCCCCCCCTAAAAAAAGGTGAATTTCCTTCAATTGATAAAGTGCAGGCCTTTGTTCTGTATTTACTAAGCATTTAGAATTCCTTTTGGGGGGAGGGGGTGCAATTATTTACATTTTTTTCTAGGTGGCAGCAGGAGTCTCCCATGGTTCCCTGTTACATACCTGTGTAGGCACAAGAATGTCAAGCAAGCAACAATGACAACAAAAAAAAAACAACATTATTTTAGTCCTACTCGGCGTACCCGTTGCCCATAGGGGAGCCGTTTTCCCTATAAGGTGCAGCAATAAAAACTATAAGACCTAAAATCCTGTTCATAATCTTACCGTGAAAGTGGGCCCATCACCTTTGATCAATTGGTAGAAGACGGCGTAGACCATTCCGGCGGGAATGCACACCATCGATGAGAGGGCCATACAGATGCCAAGGGGGTTCGAGAACAAGGACAGCGTGGACCATGAAACTATGTTGCTGATCCAAACGAACTGGGAATAGAATGAATTTGACATGAATACATGATTTACCTGCCGGTGTTGATTGTGATGGTATGTTTTCTTTTAGAAAGTAATATAATCACATTGATATATCACGATTTTCAAGAATGGATCATTACATTACATTACATTTTCTGAAGGACTTTAGGATCGTGTTTATACATGTAGATTTTATGGAAGAAGACTTTCTGTTACAATGAAAACTTAATCAATAAATTTCATTCAGTTCAATTCAAATCAAATCAATTTCATCACCATGCAATTGTCAATATTGATGATTACAGGTAAGTTCATAGTAAGTATCGGTATATAAAAAAGTGGGATCGAAGGTAAGGGGCGGAAACAGCAATCTTCGACCACAGGCGGGGCGCTATGTGAAGAAAAGAAAAGGAAGAAGATTCTGGCAAGCAAGCAAGCAAAAGAATGTAAAAGTTTTCCCATTTTGAAGTGCCTTTCAGTTCTAAAAACTTGAAAGAGAGAGAGTGAGATGTATTATGTCGGTCGGCCGGCAATGTTGTTCTCCCTACGAGCTGTGACTTTTTATCAGACAAAGAAATATTTTTTTTAAATTCAGACAATCATTAAGAGTCAGTACAACAAATCGTCTTCTTGCTCTAATAATATAATGAAATGTCAAAGCTTCCGCGCTTCGCGCGGGAGGGGGGGGGGGGGTCAGAATTCAGATGGGGATTAAGAATTGAGAACGGTCAACATATCGTCTTCTTTATCTAATAATTAAATGAAACGTCATAGCTTCTGCGCTTCGCGTGGGAGGGGCAAAACAGAATTCAGACAAGGATTAAGAGTCGAGAAAGGTACAACGAATCGTCTTCTTTCTCTAATAATTTCATGAAATGTCAAATCTTTTGCGCTTTGCACGGGAAGGGGGCGGAACTAAAAAATAATTAAGATGCTGGCCCCGGGTATTTGAGGTTAAATTTGTAGACATTGGGACATCAGCATTAATATATTTGTCGGTAATTGGTGGCTAGTTTTGTCGGTAATCGATGTCCTCTTCACCCCCCCCCCCCCCCCCCCCCCCAACTGAAAAAGATCTAGCCCCTGGGTGGGAAGGGGCATGGACTGGTTCTACGCCCTAAATAAATTATCAGCCACTGATGAAAATGACCCAAATCATTGTAGCATAATAATGTTCGACAATGACATCATGAACAAAATGGCCTGTTTTAATGTAGGCTCGTGTGCGATCTCTAATGCGTGTATAATTTTGATCATGACTGTCAAACTAAGCATGCAGTTGCCTGATATAGAGAAGAGTGAAGAGAAAGTTGAGTTCTGCTTAATTCGAGGTTTAAAAATTCCTTGTGGGCTCTCTGATTGTTTGTCAGTTTAGAAGAATGTCATATGATTTAAATAATGTCCCCTGAATAGGATTGTTCTTTAGATGACCCCATGTCTGAAATAATCTAAAGCGGTTCTTAAGGGTTTTATTTTCTCCTTCACACCTCCACTCCATTCATTTTCTATCTATGTGCCCTATTATATTTATCTATATATCAGGCTATAGTTCATCTAGACGTTGGTCAAAGCCCTCATAATATTTCCATTTTCTTCTGTCTCTAGCTATCCTAGTCCAAGCGACCGTTCCCATGTATGATGTTCGGTCATCTCTCCATCTTCTCTTCTACCGCCTCCTCTTCTCTTTCCCATTCTTGGTTAACGGATAATAATTTTGAAGGAAAAAAAAGGATAATGTAAAAACGGCGCGAATCAGACTCGGGTTCCGTGCGCACTTTATTCTAGCTACAAGCACAAACGATGCGTCGACTAGTTTACTCATTTAGATTGGCGCTTTTGTGTCTATAGTGAGAGAGTATTTGACCTTGCAATATCTCTTTATAATATTATTTGAAGCTGAAATATTGATTGCAGTATAGCGACTTAGAATCCTTAACATACAAAGCAAAATATTTCCTGTTGATTTCTACACTTTAAATGTCATTAGAATACGGGCCACAGATAATTACCAGAGCAATAACAGGAACAGTGGCTATCCAGCAGATTATGTACCATTGGATCTGTTGCCATCTTAGCATCTCGGCAATGTTGAAGGAAAACTTTCTAACTCCTTTACAAAAAGAGGTAAGAATGAAAAATGAAAAAGTTACACGTTTCTTTCAATACTTTGATAATCTTATTATTGCCCTAAGATGTATAAAGTTTACACTTAAAACTAGTTTTCCTACATGTGACAGTGACTGACCAGCTTAACGATGTACCATAAAGTGTCTCCATCTTAGAATCTCGACAATGTTCGATGAGAATCTTCCCACTACTTTAAATACACACACAAAATGTAAATACAAATATAAAAATTGAAGAATGGCCAAAGAGATGCATGCAACATATCTCTCTATTGCTATGCTGTGCAGGGTTTAAACATAAAAAAACTCCACCCTTATCTGTCTTGAGCTATTTCCTTCATCTTTGAGTATGTATCATTAGCTTCGATACCATCCAACATCATAATTATTTTCCTTCCCTCGGTCTTCGTCCTTCCACCCCTCCCTCAATGATATCTCTTGATCAGGAGTCTGTAATGCCGTAGAATATGCCCAATTCATTTCTTCTGTCTCTACTTCCAAGTCGTTACAAGCTTTCGCTCGTTCCCCCACTCTTTCGTCGTGCCATGCATTTTTCCTGTGCAGCCACTTTTCAAAATTATCCAACAAAACAATCTTACACTTGTTTTAATACTTTGATAGTCTAAATGTTGACCTAAATGTCATTACATATGAAGAGTTGGTTTAATCTTTACTTACGATTGGAAAACAAGGAAAGTGAATATTTGTTTGGTAAGATTTAATGCATGTACGAAAGTTGATGACAATTCATCCAATGTTGGTAAAATTATACCAAACAAACATATACATTTATGTTCCCTTTTTTCACCCAACACAGGTAAACTTTCGCCCTACTATTTTAGAATTTTCTCTTCAACTTCAACAGTTGATAAAAATTGCCTTATACAGTTTTTTCTTCTTTCTAGAATATAAATAACGAAACATGCGACTACCAGGGTACTAAATTTCATCATTATTTTCCAACTCCCCAACAACCGCCCCTGGCCAATGGTGCCCTAGAAATGTTAATAATTCATCGTAGAGGGATCAAGAATAACTCGGGATCAGGGACGGTTTAATAGACTGACCCGATGGAAGAAAAAGTTTTACCATAAACCCATCCGATGGCGATGCTCTCGAAGAAACATATCCAAATGAGAGGAAAGATACCAGACCCATAGGCATCAAAGAGCCATAAGACGTATTCACCATCCTGAAAATTAAATGGTACAAAGATGTTGATAATCATTATCGTTATTATAATGCTGATAATAATGGTAATAGTAACAATAATTATATAATTATGAAAATAATAATAATAATAATGATGATGATAATAATAACAACAACAATAATGATAATATTGATAAAATTACTACTACTACTTCTACCACTAATAATGATAAAAATACTAGTGATAACAATAGTAACAATTGTAATAATAATATTAGTAATAATTATGATGATAATTATAGTACTCGTTTCTTTCATAGCACTATATTGAATTGATGATTATAACATAAAAAGTCTTTACAAAAAATACAATACAAACATCACACGGTTAACTACAATGTAAATACATGTAAATACATGTACATGTAAATACATACAAATCAACAGAGGAACGAGAACTTTGTCAAATCTACTTTCAAGTTGATCTCAGTAGAGGCAGAAAATGAGAGAAACAGATTAATGAAAGTCCGATAAAAATATGACACCCCCCCCCCGAAAGAAGGAAGTTATATATTTTATACGTTGTCATCAACTGAAAACGTATTGGCAAATCCGTGACATACCTTTTGAGAATCTTTCCCATTTGCTCTGTACTAAAAAATACTAATGTAACGTCTGCTCAGAGCCAGATTGGCGTTTAGTCCATTTTAAAGTTCACGATTTAACATCTTTAGACTGTGGATCACATGGTTCGCAGTCCTAGTGCTCCAGCGGTACTAAAGTCCTTTTACAAGACATTAATCTGCATACCTGGTATGCCACTTTTCATCCAGGTGCTAATTTGGGTACTGGTAGGAAGGAGTTTCTTGAATGATGTGAGCACCGAAATCGGTAGCCTCCCAGAGCCGGGGTAATATTAGAGCACCTTGAGCACCGTGCATGATGGATAATGTGCCCTATGAAATTATCCAATATCATTAAGTTTATCATTAGTAGTATAATATTTCCATTAACTTATTTACTTGACCACTAAATATCACGTGTCGATATCTTACCTGAGTTACCATACTGAGGCCAATCAGGAAGTTTAGAAAGCAGACTCCCAACACGAATACCTCTTTATAATACCCAATCCGCAGCCAGGTAGGGAAAAGATCCAAGACAGACGTGATGAACGCCTTCACCATGACGAGCTAACGTAGAAAAGGTAGGATGAAACGAATTAGTTCATGAAATGGGGAGTTGTTGGTTGTGCGTTTAGGGAGAAAATGATAAGCAATGCTTTCTCATTCACATGGGTTTTTTCGACATTATCAAAGTATTAAAATATTACCTGAATTGAGCGAACTTGTATTGAAAGTTTTAGGACGTTGAATGAAAGGGCTGATAGGTTTGAAAAATGGTTGAAAATATTGTAAAGGTGGAAACGGATGAAAGGGTTGAAAGAGGTCGAAAAAAAAATTGAAAACATTGAAAATGTGGTAGAAGTTTGAAGAAGTCGAGAAAAGGGTTGACCTTTCCAGCCAGTACAGACTTTACAAGGTTGACAATGTTGTAAAGGTTGTAAAACGTTATAAAAGAAGTTAAAAGTTCCAAAAGGTGGAAGAGGAAATTAGATATAGGTCTAACTACTAAGATTAAGATTACAGGTACACCAATTGCAATCTTCAGATACATATTTTGGATCAAGTCGGTTAACATTAATTTAGACATAGAATTCAATTTTGGTTAAAGTCAATAAGGCTTGAAAACATTGAAAATTAAGGAATGGATATGATGATCCACTATGTCAGCGATATAACCCTTTCGTTGATACTCACTGATTCACATTGGTTCAATGCGGTCCAGACCCCTCATTTTTGTTTTTTTGTCAGAGATTTTAAACTTAATGTTTGTTACACATCATTATAGACATTAATACCATGATTTTTATTCATTGCTTGTCATTGGTAAGACTAAAAAGGGCAGTTAAGACAATCTGATGATTTTGAAGTGTCTATTTTTTTCTTCAGAATTGCGACACCCCCATCCCACTTTCACAAAGTCATATATCCTTCCCCGATTACCTGAGAGTTTAGCCCAATCGTTAGGACCGCTAGAAAAAAGAATATAGACCAGACCCTTGGTACAGGCAATGCAGCAAAAGAACGCGGAAAGACCTTAAAAAATCGACCAGAACCTAAAGTAATCAAACAAAATCAAACAAAATGAGATGGAAGAAAATGAATGATTTAACTAAATAAGTTTTAACAAGGGTAAATATATAAGATGTGGTACGCAAGTTCTTGTATGGTTTGTTTCATTGAAACGCTCTATTTAAAAAGTAGAACAATTATGAACATTTCCTTGTGTTATAAATCTAAGTAAGTACCCCAAAGTCCAAAAATGCTCCGAAAACCAAACTAACTTTCATATCTGCTGGCTTACATGTCAGGGATTCTTTAACATAAGGGGGGGCACTTAATTTTTTTTCCTGGCATGCTAAAACACATAAGGGTAAATAAATGAGTTGAAAGTAATCATTTTCCTTTTCCCTGTTTACCCCTTTATTTTATTCCCTTTTTCTGGAGCATGTGACATTTTTAATGGAGGGTTGTACCCCTCTAACCTCCTCCCCACCAGTAGGACAGTGGTACTAGGGTTACGGTTAAATGGAAATCCAACCCAAATAGACAACTTCTCTACAAGAAAGCAGAAAAATCAGAGAAGCAAACTGATGAATGTTATGAATTTTTAAAAGTTGCAATCACTATAGCCTACGTATGTGCACTTCAAATACGCTGAAGCGGTAATGTCAATGTGATGTTAGTACTGCCGGACTACTTTCCCATCTGTCCCAACATGACTAAAAAAATCAAATGACTAACATTTAAATTTTTCAAAAATTCATTGCTCAGGAGGGCTTATTCGTTTTAGAGGAAGGTGCCAATTGCGGTGAGGGGTTTTCATGGACCAGTAGATCTGAGATTATATTATCCAAAAAAAAGAGAAGAGTACGAATTTACAAATAGTAAAAAAAAAAAGTGAAAGGCGTAAATATTCTAAAAAAGAATGAAACGCCGATAATACCAAACAACAACAACAACATAAAACAATATGCTATCTATAATATATTTTGAGTAGTGCCCCAAGGGCGAAGGGACATAAATTAACGATATTTTTGTACACAGCAAATGGGAGAGTTTTCAACGTTCTACGTCACAATCCACTGACCGAACTACCAATTTGAGATTTGCATAGACTTAGTGATCTCAAATTTCAAACATTCGTAACTTCCGTACTATTAGCTCGATTTATTTCAAACTTTTCTGTTTCTGTCATTGTTCTGCTTTCATACAAATCAACTTATAACAAGGGTTGGATTGCCCTTTAAGTTTAGAGGATCGGAGAGGTGTAGCCCTCAACCCCTCCTTCCCACCAGTAGGACAGTGGTCCTAGGGTTAGGGTTAAGGTAAGGGGGTAGGAGGGATGTAGCCTTCAATCCCTCCTCCCTACCAGAAGGCCAGTGGTGATAGTTTTAGGGTTAAGGTTAGAGGATGGGAGGGGTGTAGCCTGAAACCCCTCCTTCCCACAAGTAGTCCAGTGGTCCTAGGGTTAGGGTTAAGGTAAGGGGGTGGATGGATGTAGCCTTCAACCCCTGCCCCTCCCCTCTGCAAGGCCGTTAATAGTGTTAGGGTTAAGGTTAGAGGATGGGAGGGGGTGTAGCCTGAAACCCCTCCTTCCCACCAGTAGTCCAGTGGTGCTAGGGTTAGGGTCGGGGTAAGAGTCAGGGAGGGCGTGCAGCCCCTCCTTCACACGACCCATTAGTGGTGTAATACTACTCTTACCGGAACCATCAGCAATGATTACGCCGGGGGAGATTCCCTCACTGTACGCTTCGACGCCGAGAAATGTAAAGACGATGATGCCACTGTAGATACTCGTCCACACATTTAAATATGCTGCGATTATGCTATCCCTTAAGACAATCAATACAAAAAAGACAAAATTAGCCTTAAACATAAGATGAGTAATGGTCATACAAGTTAATTGTGAAAGAAACAATCTAGAAGCATCTGGGAAAGGGTGATTATGAGGTACATGAGAATAGATGTTAATAATAAACATACTAAGAAGCTTTTAATGATCGAAATCAGCAACAGATCTAGTGTTGGACGTAGGGGGAGGGGTGAGTCCCCATTTCGTCAAGGCCCCCCTCCCCCAAAAAGTCGAAAACAATGTGTAGAAATTAAAGTTTTTCTTCTATTTTATGTTTTCATTTGTTGGATGAACCCAAGATAGGTCTCACTTTATAGTGGAATAGGAGTGTAAACTTTCTTAACAATGACAAAAGATCAACTGATTTAGAAAAGATCATTAATTCTAACACACTAGCAAAATAATAGAGAAAATGCATATTTTGATTGACATGTGAACAAATTCAAATTTCACACCCCTACGTCTGAATTGCACAAATTTGTATCAAAAAGTGTGGGAGACTTGAAAGAAAATGATCATGAAACATAAATCCGGAAGGTCAAGCGATTGAGACGCAGCGCGAAAATCATGAGGGGGCCATTATGTCCCCCCCCCCCCCGGCCTCATTTTCAGGAGACACTTCCACTATGATATTCTTTCAAACTGACATACAAAGATTAACAAAAAACAAATATTTTTCAACTTTCCCGGAACCCAACCTTCTACTTAAAACAGATTTCGTCAGACAAGTAGAAGACGATACAAACTAAAATCATCAATGAACGTAGGTCTGCAATCTTTAAATAAGACATAAACTATGATTACGTTGGCAGCTATTTGATATATTGCAGTATGTATTCATTCCCAATAGCGGATAATATAGGCCATTCATCCGTGTTCTTTTCCATTCGCTCCTCGCCTCTCTGTCTCTCTCTCTCTCTCTCTCTGTCTCTCTTTAAATAAGATTACATCATTGAGCAAAATAAGATTATGGAAATTAGTAGAAAAAAAGAATGAACAAATAAAATGTTTAAAACTAATAGTTGTTTAAAGACGTCCAGTGCTTGTGATTCAATTAAACTCTTAAAAACTTATCGTTGATCGAGCGTTTCCAAGTTTACCATGCACACAGACAAAAAGAGGTTTAAATTTACTCCCTATTGGGAGTAACTGCTTGTCGTATAAGTGACACCCTCAGGGAGTAAATTTAATCCCCAATGCAGGTAGTAAATGTACACCCCACAATAAAGTGTAAATTTGCACCCCCAGGTTATGATTTTACTCCCTTTAAGGAGTGAAATTTGCACCCAATGGTGCTCAATTAACACCTTTTGGTTCCATTTTCATGAAAAATGGGTTCAAATATACACCTGTGGGGTTGAATTTTATACCCTATATGAACGATTCCACACCCTGTGGGGAGTGAATCTACACCCTTCTTATGTACAGCATTAACCAATTGATCATCCCTCGAGCAATCAATCATCCATGCTTCGTAATCACCTAACAGTCACTGATTATCACCCTTTTGTCTACGTTTCACTGCTCTAAAGAAATCAGACCAGAATCTCGAGTTATATGTCGAAAATCTCAGTTAGTGTGAACTCAACACAAGTGCAGACTGTAAGAACCAACTAAGTTAGCCTCGGTGAGGCTGGCCTGGATGGAAGTATCGGATCAACTGTATTGGAACTATCTAAATACACAATCCTGCCTCACCGTGTATGTGTGTATTGGGTTTTTACAGACGTGTATCAATCAGAATATCTTCCGTTTACTTACACGAAGGCAAGTTAGTAAAACAACACTTCTGCTAATTTCATCAAATGATCAAATATAACCTTCCGTACAATCCCTTATTCTTGATCAGATAACTTTCAAACAAATAACATGCCCAAATGAAACATGATAATTCCCCCAACATGACTAAAATAAGTAAATTATGCTAATTTTCCTTCATTTGGCAGTAAATCGACACGATGCGCCATTGCTGTAGCGCATGCGCATATATGCACTCACAACAGAAAAATGCTTTGAATAATCAGAGCTCGTCTGACTAAAATAGGGTGTAAAATTACAGCCCTCAAATTCCTATTCTGTACACCCTTGCGTATATTCGTGTTTTACTCCCTTAAAGGTGTAATAGGGGGCGCCCTATTTTTCCAATTTCGTTTTACTCCCCAAGAACACCTTTTATTTCTCTGTGTGTAGTGCCCGTTTTTCTTTTCTTACGACGAGAAGAGAATATTACACGCAAGTGTATTTGTACCAACCTATAGAAATTGTAGTGGAATTTGTTGAAGCTTCCAAGGGCTGTGAAAGCACCTAGTCCAATCGAGAAGGAATAGAAAACTTCTGTTCCAGCGGCTATCCACGCCTTTACGGACCAATCAATGAAAACAAGTTTATACAACGTCAAATGCCTGTCCAAAGTGGACGGAAATCAAAACAAACACATGAAAGAAGACAAAAAAAAAAAAAAAAAAAATTTTAAATAATTAGACAAATTAAGCAACAACAAAAATATCATACCCTTCAATTAAAAGATATAATTAGTTTGCCTTAGTAAATTCAGGCACGGTTAAAGTAGACTTCCAGTGTTACTTGTTGTAACTGTCGGTACTCCATACTCTATAAGCCTGCATATGTAGCGTTCCATACTCTCATAGCAACCCATTTGAGAAGCACAATTGTACGTCACGATGTAAAACCACGGCAAAATTAGCCTGTTTTTATCGTAAAGTTAAACTACTTGGTCTGCCCATATTATTTGGTCTGCACAGTGGTAAGCAATTAAACATGCGTTATTTGTTTGGATTGTAGTATCAGTGTTTGTGACATAGGTTTCGTCATTTAACTATAAATACCACAGATTATTTGATGATAATGAGAATGTTGCATGCCATTGCCCATGTTATAATACCGGTATAGCATTATTCAGAACTGTAGAGGGCGAAGTACATTCGCACTCACTTTCAATGAATACATAATACATAACTCACAAGATAAGATGTTTATAAAATCATAGTTTATTAGCGAGTTGTGCATAATGCAGATGATGCATACAGTGTAGATATTATAATTATCGGGGTAGCAAATTACACAATGAAGGTTTTAGTACTTAAATTAAGATGTTTATATTTAATCTCCAATCTTGTTGCTCAGACATACGTGTTTAATAATAATAAGAGCATGAAGTTTAGGTACGTTACTTTATATTACATTGTGGTTGGTGATGATACATGTATTTAGTAGTTTATGCTTGACAAGAATGCTAGCTCATAATGATAACAAGATATTTGTTAAGTAAGCGCTGTGCTTTCTATAAGATGGGTATACCTGCTTGCAATAGTTAATTGCTTGTCATTTATTATTAAGTTTGCGATGTTATTTCCGCACATGTGCATGGTTTGGGCCAGAATGTTAAGGTCAAGTTAGACACCTAATACCAAAGTTAAAAGGTTAATAGGACATCAATTAATATACTTTTCTTTGGCTTTGTTTTATAGTTCTTACGGCAACATCTTACGGCAACATGTAAAGCGACTTCCAAGTTTATCAGCTAAATCGGCGTCATCTATCAAGTTAACGGTTTATTCGATATTCGAGAGTAAAATTGTAAGCCTGTAAACTTTCTTCAAGGAACGATGGCAATAAAGTGCATGATTAAAGTGCCCGTATACAAGACCTGTGACTGTATTCATTTATGTGGTGTAAACGTGTCAATATCGAGAGGGGCAGGCACTCTTGTCGTAACAAAAATATTAGAGTGACTAGTTCGACGACAAAGAAAAATATAAAGTTTACAAGATTATATAAAAAAGATATAAATACTGCATAGTTTTTGGTTAATGATGTGGCTTTTTTTTTCGAGGGGTTAGTAGATAATTGCTCAAGAATCACCTCATTTAAACAAGTTAATTGTGTTAATATACACTGTTGGTCATAATGGTGGAATAATCATTTTTACCCCAATTTATTGAATGATTTTGACAATGATTTATTCCTAATAGAACAAGATAATAGTATACATTCTCAGATGTTATTGAATGACAATTGGGGAGTGTTTGTTTTGCGTGACTGCTAAAACATGTGTGTGCTACTATGCTAATCACTAACCTACGTCCTTAAGTCATAACTGACAGTAATGGGGATTAAAGCCTCATAAAAGTGGACTAATATAGCACATCGACACGGTTTTGATCCTGGGGGCTCACAGTAACGAGGCCATTGCTTAGCCAATGAATCATGACTGTACGCAGCGGGCGCTTGGTTACGTCGACGCCCCCACAAAATCAAAAAAACAAAGAAAAGGCAATAAATGTTCAATAATTCATTGTATTTCCCCCAGTGCCCAACAGGGGAAAAAAATCCTCTGTAGGGCTATTCCTTATGGTTCAGGCATGCCTACATAGAAGATTTTTTCTGTGTGTTGGGGTCGGGGCAAAATGCAATGAATCATTGAAAAATTATGCATTTTCTTTTTTTTTTTTTTTTTTTTTTTTAGGAATAAATCATTGTCAAAATCATTCAATAAATTGGGGTAAAAATAAGTATTCCACCGTTATGACCAACAGTGTAGGTTCAAGGAGTTTAAAGAGCATGATCTCTCGAATTTATCCCTATGTATCCATGCGCATGTATATATATATATATATATATATATATATATATATATATATCCATGTGTGTGTGTGTGAGAGTGTGTATGCGTGTGAGTGTTCATGTATAAGTAAAACAAGACATAAGCCTCCGCCCTAAATTCAGTATAGGAAATGGATGATATTATTCGTAACATAATATCACAATGAAAACAAAAAGCCTATAATCAAATGTCAACTGACGTCTATGATCTTGACCTACCAGCCCCAATATGTAATTGGATCATCTTCCTATAGTAATACTGTCACCATGTTTAGATACTGCGATAGCAAGGCTAACAACCTTTAAGTTAAGAAATTGACCTCTGTGACCTTCGACCTACTTACCTTAAATCTAATGAGACTGTCTTCCTAAATGATGATACATACTATCACCAAATTTGAACCCCAAATCTCTAGAGGTTTTAGAAATATCGCAAATCTGTAATGTCAGAAATTAACCTCTGTGACTTTTGACCTTTGACTTTGTATCCGAGATCTAATCAGATCATCTTCCTATGTTGATGCATGTTATCATCTAGTGGTTCTTGAGATATCGTGATAACGAGAAAGCGGGACGGACGGACAGACCACCATCGGTGGGCGGAGGCATTACAAAATGAAACCTAGATATAAAACAACTTAGTTGACAATATTAGCCTTTGTTTAAATTATTACATGACATGGAGAGTATAGGGACCCGTTTCACGAAGTCTTTTTTCAATGACAAAAATCAGTGACAAATCTGCTGATAACCAATCCGAAGCAAGGATTTCAATAGCTTATAACAAAAACTGTCATTTGTCACTGATGACAAGTTTTGTGAAACGGGGCCCAGGTCCTTGTATTATTATACAGACAACACGACAGGAAGTACTTCCTCGAAATCAACAGATGTGGTATACCTGTGCATTTAGTCGAGATGGGATGGGTTTGAGATAAAAAATCAAACCATCATATGCTCCTGGTAAAGTAATCCCACGTATCATAAGCACGGCGAATACAAGGTGTATGAAGGGAACGGTGAAATAAGCCACCTGCAAAGTAAAGTAATATAATGAGAATAATCAAACAATTTACATTTATAATTTAGTTCGGTTCCTTACAAAAAAAAGACAAGTAGCAAAGACTAACTGTACACTGTTTTTAATGTAAATAGTGTCATAAAGTGGGAACATCGATAAAAAAAAAAATTAGATGGAAGAAGAAAAAAATCATAATTCATTTCAAATCTAAATCACACGTTAAAGAGAATGATCATTGGAAATCAAACTACAAAAACAGAACAAATAGAAATCATATTAAAAAATATTCCTCAGATTTATTGGTCGAAATATGAATGGAGTGCACCTTTTAAAATGAATGTAGTGTTTTAAATCAAACTAAGCTATTTACAGTAGTTTAATCACAATTATCCAAGCTTAAATGTTTATGATCACAGCCGAAAACAAAACGGAAATGCTAAATAATGATAAGTGAATGAAGCAAATGGATGCGTAGAGCAGGACAGCAAGGGTGTCTACTGTCTAGCTCATAGTTTGACGGACATATTCGCTCTATATATAAGAACTCACTGTGATTGTTGTAGTTGTTGTTATTATTGCTGTTATTCTTCTTATTTTTTTTTGTAATTATTATCATTATTAATATATTTATTGTCATCTTCATCATTATCCTCACTATTGTTATTATCATTGTGATTATGACTATTATTAATATTATTATTATTATGATTATTATTGTAGAGGTGTTGTGGCGTAGTGGATAAGTCGTCGGACTGTGAATCACAGGGTTCGCGGTTAGAGTCCCGCCGCTGCACTAATGTCCTTTGGCAAGACATTAATCTAAACTTGCCACTCTCCACCCAGGTGTTAATGGGTACCGGTAGGAAGGAATTCTTTAAATGCTGTGAGCGTCGAAATCGGCAGCCTAGCATAGCCGGGTAATGTTGGAGCGCCTTGAGGACCATGCAAGGTCGATACGTCGCTTTATAAGAATCCAATATTATTATTATTATTATGTTTATTATTATTATGTTTATTATTATTATGTTTATTATTATTATTACTATAATCATTATTAGCACTTTTACCTTCATCATCATCATTACAAATACAAGGACAATCAATCAAAGACTGTTTATAATATACAAATCATTGCAATTTCGTTTGTTTTTGTTTTTTGGGGAGGGGCAGTTGTGTCATCGTAAAAAATATAAGCAAATAACGGTACCTTGCCGCTCCATTTAACTCCCTTCCGGAGGCCAAAGTATACGAGCGTCCATGCGAGGAAGAGGGTTAGGGCAAGATGCCCGACAATACCTCTTCCGCCCGTCCCTGTTTGGCCTAACACCTTGATTCTAGGAAAGGAAAAGGACAACTGATAAAACTAGAGTCCATTTTTCATTTCATTTCTTCTATATCCGCCATAAAAAGGCACATCTAGAACACAAACAAAAATTGATAAAAATGTACATATTTTTTGCATATACAAGAAACAAAATATGATAAATAAAGTATATACAGGAAATAAATGTCATTTAAAAAGCACACATATAAATACACAGAGCAATGATCAACAACAGGCGCGATAGCTCAGTCAGTAGTGCAGTATTTTATAAACTAAAAACATTAAAAATCGCTGATATTCACATTTTTCAAACTGCAATCGTTATGTATACATTTTGGATAAATACTATACTATTGGCATTCCGAAATATTTTTGTTTACAATAGTTATATACATTCTTATCCAACACGACACCCATCCGATTTCCATTTAACCAACCAAAACATTGTTATGGCCTATAAATCGATAAGACACTATGTCCAGATATTTGGAATGCTTTACCTGACAATATTGAACACTCTGCATTTATTTATTCATTCAAAGCCTCGATGAAGAAATATTTAATATCTAAATTTTCACCAACAATATAAGGGTCTCAGCAATTTCTATTGTTTGTTTATATAAATTAATTTTAGATGACCAGTTCATTAACAATTCACCTGCACACACCCACTTTCACACACTTGAATATTTTTTCTTTCTTAATTTCTTTCCACTCATTTTATTTAGATATTTTCTGAACAAAATCTTTATACATGACATTCTATTCTCCTACATACTCTTATAATGCTAGGAGTCCACTGGGCCAGCGTCAGTTGGTGCCAGTTTGCGCCAATGCAATTTACTGTGGCGCCTAGTGTCGCCAATAAGGTGCCTAGTGGCGTGTAGTGGCTCAAACTGCCTCCCAACTGGCTCGTTGTGGCCCGTAACGGCACCAAATTTGAATGTGGCGGCAAGAAAATTTCAAAATGTTTGAAATTTTCGTCGCGCCACTTGCATCGAGCAATCAGCGTCAAGTGTCCGCCAAGTGGCACCAAATGGCGCGAACATACCGCCCTTTGGCGCAAACAATCCGCCTATTGGAATCCACTGGAATGTAATGACGCGCGCCATGTTGCGCCAATGAGAATTGGCGCCACTAGGCAGTGGCCACCTAAGCATCTCTCATCATCTTCTGATGGAGCAGCATCATCACTCCAACATTATCAAAAGCATCAGACATATCAAAATTGTAAATATTTAGTAGAGATGTTGTTCATACAGCAGCTAAGGAGGGTCTGAACCAGGTAGCCGATGGCCGGTATTTATATAGTCGGCAAGTAGCGCCAAGCGGCGGCAAGTTCAAACCAATTTGGCGATCTTTGGCACAAACTAATCACCAAGGGGCGCAAAGTAGCCGTCTATTGGCGCGAATGGCGCCAACAGGGTGAATTTAGGAATCAAATGGCCGTGTAATGGCGCGAACTGGCGCAAACTGGCACATTTTGGAGCAAGCCGGATGGCATTTGGCGCACGCCATATGGCACCCAGTTTATTCCACTTGGCGACACATGCCGAGCGGACATTAATTCGGCGCCACAGCGAGCCACTACGCGCCAATCACATAATCTTTGGCGCGAACTGGCACCAACTGGCGCTGGCCCAGTGGACTACTAGCATAACAGCTGCTCTTTCCTGGCTGCTATTGACTCAACTTACTCAAGCATTCATGCTCATGATATTTACCCTCTGCATTTATCTTGATTATTTTACTTACCTCCATACTTTCAAGTTTTCAATTATATTTATATATATGCATTTTTTGGGGTGTGTATTAAAGTTGTCACTCTTTATGTAAATCAATTATATTATATACTATTATTGTTATTAGAATGTTTTATATTTGATTTATCAATAAATCCAGAAACATCTGCTAAAAAAAAACTCTATTAGCAAGAGGGTGTATCTGGAATGAAAATCTGGTGTGTGCAGGTATGATGATGTAGGCGGCATGAACTGACTGATCTGGCCAAGGCATATTATGAGTTTCGTGTCGGATTCTACATAATCCAGACTTTATTCACAAACATTTAGGGATGATATATATACAATTTGGCATACATATTTTCTTGGCCCAATGGATCTGACCCCGTTTTAAGTCAACAGACTGTAGATCACAAGGTAGACGGTTCGAATCCCGGGCCAGCACTAATGTTCTTCCACAAGCCATTAATCTACTTTTGCCACTCTCAACCCAGGTGTAAATGGGTACCAGGGCTATGGAAATCAGATTTGCGCTGTTAGGGTGTTCCATATGCACCCCTGGATCGAGAGGAAAATGAATGAAAATTAAAATGAGCGCTACTTACTTTTACGGCTCGGCTTTATCAGCCAGGGTATTAATTAGATATCACAGTGCCATGTATAAAATATGTAAGAAGTCATTATCATTATCATCGTTATCATCATTATAATTATTATTATTATTATTATTACTATCATTAAGATTATTATTATATCACTATTATTATACTTATTCAATGAAATATGACTTTGAGTCACGCGAATACAGCATAAAAAACATGACTGGAAGGAATAGACCAGTCTACTAACATATTCAAATATATGTATGTTTCTTTTCTGGGGACCTGGTGATGGGTTATTCCATCAACCTGTTATCAATTAATGAACTACAACACTTGGAATCCGGTCTGCACAGATTACTTGTTTTTATGTCGGACAAGCGTCGAGCAAGCTCTTGGTTTGTCAAGAACAACCTCTGTTTAAAAATTGTGCATACAATTTTAATATGTTAGTAAACCGGTCTATAGTGGGAATAGTTGATGATGTAGTACACTATTGATTCGTACTATGAGTTTTAGAATCATCATCATTATCAACATCATCATCATCATCATCATCATGAAACTTACCTCCAGAACTCCTGGGCCGGGTTGGTTGTTAATGGGTAATTACCACATTGGTCAGAGTCATCTAAGGGCACTGCTTCATTCCAACTGCTCCACGATGGGGCTGGTGATTCCTCCGGTGGAGCATTCCACTTGTCGATGGGAATATAGGTTCCATTGACGCACACCCATTCATTCTGGAGTCAATGGATTTAACGTGTTATAGCATTTATTTTAAACAGTTGTTAATACTATTATTATTATTATCATTAATATTATCATTATTATCCATTTATCATCATTATCGCGATCGCAACTAGAAAAATCAACCTAGGAGAATTTCAATGGCCTTGTACATCGCGCTTTAAAATGTGCGAACATTACAATGACGCGTTATGTAATCAGATCATGTAATCATTTGTGATGCACAAAATCTTTGTTAAGTGCCTCGTTCTAATTATGTCATTCATCTGCTACAAATAATTTGTATTTCAATATTTCAGAATGCAAATTGCATACATTAATTGTTGTTAGGTAGGACAAACATTATGACTTGTCCTGCTTATAACAAAAAAACACGTGCCCACCCCCCCCCCCCCCCTACCCGATCCACCACTGAGAAAGACTGAAAATGAAATAGGGGGGTGAACAGAGTCTAGACTTACGCCGTAATTCAAGCATGAAGCTGTATTCCATTCATTATTGCATCTCGCCCAGGGGAGCTCACCACCAATGCATGAACTGTAGAGATAGTACAGGGTCCAGGCCAGGATGACGTTATAGTAGATGTTACGCCACCAAGCAACGACAGTGGTGGCGACACCAATACCTACGACGATCAAATTAAAGGTGTGTTCATAAATGGCGCGGTAAACGGCCACAAAAAGAGCAGCCCCAGGGTTTTGCCCGGGGGTTTTGTACGTGTAAAAATAAATGACAACTACGCGCAACAAATTAAAGGACTTGCACGTATTCACTGAGCTCTGTGTTATAACCAAAGACGTTTAAATATAATTATAACTTAGAGAAATGTGTAGTGGACTGTCGAGCTAATTCAAAGGGGTAGTTGAGTTATGTTTTCAGACCGCAAATGCCTTCAGAGTGCATGTTTATTGCTCTCATTCTTATGACATTTCTAGTGCCCTTTTGGGACCTAAAATTGCTCTGAAGGTAACTTTAGACCCCAAAATGTGTAAGATTTTGCCAATACGATCATACCAATTCAGATCCACTTTCCAAAATGTACGGTGACCGCATTAATTAATGAATGAATTATTAATAATAATACATGGGCCGGCTGGTTGTGCGTAATATAACCAAAATGACAAAGCCAACAAAAATTCCAACATCGGCATTGGCTGAAAGACAACTTAGAAGGCGCTATTTCGTTTTTTTTTTCAATGGCTTGTTCAAATTATCGAATATTTGTGGTGGTACACAAATATTAGAAATCGTTATATTTAAGGATATTTCAGCCGTCTGTGAACCGATTTCGATCAAACAAAGATTACATTGTCATTTAAATTATATGTTCTTTCAAATTTGACAAAGTTTTTCATTATCTCACAAAAAAATATTTTGTGTAGCGCCCTCTGCAACAGAACTCAACTACCCCTTTAAATGCATCGTTTAACAATGTTAAATCTAAGATGCACGGCCCTATATATTATCGGTGTCTGTGACATGGTGTAATATTGAGGCCCTAAAAAATTACGCTTCAAAATGATCAAGAAGTGCCTCAAAAAAAGTAAAAATCGTTGAGTGACCGGTTTTACCATTCTCGTTTTTACCAGTAGACTGTAGTTTTATGAAAATCGTTCGAAAAACGCAAAATTTGATTCCGATTTCCAATCATAAATATTTCATTTCATTTCATTTTTTTTTCATTTCATTTATTTTCATATTTCTCATGTTACACATACATTCCAAATAAAGTACGAATAGTTTTTTTAACTAAGACAAAGATGATGGGACCTATTTTGATAATTAGAAAAGTGATCGGCTTGTAAAAGTCATGGGGTTCATGACTGACCGTAAGGTTTATAATTATCTATGCTTACCCAAACCCTTTAACGTCATCATTACACAAACAAAACAAAACAAAAAAACAAAAATGCTGCAGTTTTGCCAAACCCTTTAACGTCATCATTACACAAACAAAACAAAACAAACAAACTAAAATGCTGCAGTTTTGCCGCGTCGTATCTGAACAAGCTTTTAAAGAGTGATTATTTAATGAAAGCGTTCAATATCTATATTTTATAACACACCTTGTACTGTATACGTAGTGTTAACATACATCGCATGTATTTAGACGCATCGGGGAACCACGTTTTAGCTATCTCGGCTTTTCGTCTTCTCCTATTACTATATTATGTGTTATACCCTGTAGATATATGTTTTGCTTGTTCGGAAATGGTAATTAATTCATTATGTTTACCTTGGAAAATTGGGCATATCTTCCAGGCTCTGATGGGACCCGAGGAGGTGTATTGACCGAGTGCCATCTCCAGGAACAAGAGAGGAGTCGCAAGAAACAAGGAACATAGAAAATATGGGACGAGGAAGACAACTGTGGAGAGATAATAGAGAGATAATACAAACAAAAATGTCACGAAACTGTAATACTACTACCACCACCACTATTACTACTACCACTATTAATAAAACGTCGCCTGGCTGGGAGGAGGGCGTTAGCTCGAATTCGAAAAAAATTGTGGCCGTGTTCTGTTATAACATTTCTATTAGTCTTTTGAGTTTTAAAACCATTTTCGGGACGGAAATCAGTTTAAATATAAAACAAATCTTTAAATGCGAATAATTCGAAAAGTAGTTTTCGAGTCGCCCGCGCGTTAACGCCCTTCTGCCAGCCGGGCGAATATTGTGAAGATTATGATCATGATGATGATGATAATTATAACAATAAACTCAGGGTAGCCTCATCAGTATTATATCACCATAATCATAACTAAAATTATCCTTCAGTGCCCTCGAATCATCTAATCATTTAAAGGGGTGAGGTTAAGCAGGATATATATATACAATGTATACTATGTAAAGAACAAGCATCAACGAATAACGTTTAAAGATTGGGTTTCATGTAAAAGATAATGACCTCAGGGGTGGGTTATTGGACCGTATATCGTTAAGTACACGAACATTATACAGCTAATTATTTTTGATGGTGCGCCCCTTCATGAATTTTAGATGAATTGCCATTTGGTCTACAACCAGTTCGTCTACTACCCGATTAGTCTATTCCCATATGGTCTAAACTCTAAACTTAACCTGTCTATAATATCCACATGATCTCATAATCATCTCGTCTACTAATCTTTTGGTATAATGACCTTCAAGTTATAGTCATTTGGTCGAATTTCCAATATGTCTACTAACAATTTGGTCCATCACTCAGTTAATTCCCAGTCTTGTCTAGTGCCCGCTTTGTCTACTATTCACATCAAAGACGTTTAAATATATTAGAAGGAAAGATGCACGCGCGGAGACCATTAAACGAATGGGATTAGGCTCCGCCTCTTTTGGATCATTTGACAAGACGAAATAAGCACCCTAAAGCCCCTTTCAAACCGGGCTATATAGAGTTGCGTAGTGTTGCGTACCGACTACGCCGAGCGTACGCTGTCCTACGCTGGCCTACGTAACTATACGCTGGGGGACGCAAAGGGGTGCGCGAGATGGACGCAAAAATAAAACATGTTTATTCTTTTCTATCATGTAATTCTTGATTTTCTCCACTCTTTTCTTGTTCCCATTTTCCTTTGCAATAAGTGTTCATTTTCCATTCTCATAAGTGCCCTTTTCATCGCTAGTAAGTGCCCCTTTTCAGGTACAAGAAGCGCCCCTTTTCATTTTTGATAAGCGCCCCCTTCACCTCTGATAATTGCCCTATTCAAATATGAGAGGTGCCAATTTTACTTTGCGAGTGCCCCCTTTTCTTTCAAAAAATTTCAGCACATTTCCCTTTATCATTAGTGCCCCTTTTTCAGATGCGATAAGTGCTCCTTTTCACCTCTGATAATAACCCTTTTAACAATACGTGCCCCTTTTCCTTTCTTATAAGGAACCTATCCCTTTTTCATAAATGCCCCTTTTCACTTCTTATAAATTCCCCTATCAAAATCTGATGGGTGCCTCTTTTCCGTCGACATATGCCCATTTCTCATTCTCATAAGTACCCTTTTTTCAACCCTGGTAAGTGCCGCTTCTTTAGGTGCCTTTTTCACCTCTGATAATTAATTACCCATTGCACTTTGACACGCGTTCCTTTTCTATTCTAATAAGTGTCCCCTTTTCCTCTCATCATTTAAACGTTCCATTAATATCAAGCGACTATATCCCCAAAGCTCGCTCGCTCGCATTTATAGATGTTATGATTATTTACTTAACAAAGGTTTTGTTTAGTCTTCTGTTATGAGAATGTGCTTATAACCCCATCAGGATTGGGTTTTTCCTCTTTATAAGTAATTTATCGCACTGCGACCTCACAAATATATTTTTTTTTTTGCTCGCTCGCAAATGAGTTCTTAGACCATCACACCCAACCGCAAGGTATACGTATAAAGATTAACAAATATTGAAATCATCCATGATAATGTAATCGCAATATAGGGGTAGGCCTATATACCAATATCTAAAAAATTGTATATTTTCGCTTTGAAATTTCCCTTTGTAGGCGCCTTTTTTTCTAGAATGTGCCCTTTTTTGTTGGTGCCCCCCCCCCCCCTCTATTTTAGAACTCGCTCCGCCGCCTCTGGTAAGGAGCAATGGGTATATCACTTTTTAATTCTGGTAAAATATTTGATGAAATTAAACGCAGGTTTAAAGAAAATGAATTGGGAGGAAAACAAAGTGGCATTGATGAGAAATAAATTTCCCCTACATCTGTGAAAATGGGAAAACTGGGAAGTTTGAGGGAGGGCGAGGTAGAGGTTGAACGTAGTGAACTTAAGTCATTTCGACACAATTGTAAAGAAACCTTTACCAGAATGCATTACCTATCCACACAAATAGAAGGGAGCGTGAGGGGGAAGGGAGATGGGTAAGAGGGAAGGGGGGGGGGGGGTAAGTCCAAGGAGTAAGGGAAAGGGAAAGGGAGGGAAAGGGTTTTGGGATGGATCGTGTTTTAATAAAAGAAAACTAAAATGTTCAATTCTGTAAAATAATATTTTGAGAAATATGAAACTCATTTTTTTTTTTTTTTTTTTTTTAAGTATTCAGTTTTTTCTGAAAAAACATTGCTTTGTTCTAGTTTAGGGGTATAGTGCGCCGGGTAATATCTTTTAATTTTGTTTTTATATTTGTTTATCAAATGATAAAAAAGCTTTCTTATAATTATGTTGCAGTTTTGTAAGTAACTAGGCTATATGTACGTAAAAGAATTGGAGCTTTGAGAAATAAAATCAATGAATAAAAAAAATTAAAAACGCGTATTTAACCTAACGGTATCGCCTAACGCTGATTCACTGAATCACTTGCGTTGCTAGCGTGCAGCATGATGAATAAATGACCATGATTACATACATTGGGGGATTTGACCTCTCTAATTACGCTGATACGCGTATTGTCATTTACCAATAACTAAACATCGTTCAAGTACACTTTGCGCAGGGAGCATCCTACAAAATGCATAATTCATAAAAGGCTCATGAATTATTTAGTGGGGCTTTTTTGGCTTCTAATGGATCCGTGCAACATGGTGGAGCTTGGGGGCCTGCTGCAGCTGCTCCATACATAGTCTGATAATCGTTTAATGGTAAAAAATAATAACCATGAAATGATTATTAGACTTAATCAGTACACGGACTCCTTGAAAAACAGCCGTTTACGGTTGAGGCTTAGCTTTAGCCTAGTCTGCAGGCACAGACCCTAATTTAAGACTTTATCAACAAATCGTTGTGCCTTGAGAGAAGTCTAGCCAAGCTACCTACTGGTTGTATCAATGTAGGGTCTGTACAGGTTTACCAAAACTGTTTCCCTGTGAAGGAGCAGCTACAGTACATGGCCTATGGTAGTCTTATAGTGCAGACTCACTTTTACGACTGACCAGGGTTTGTGCTTGCAGACTAGCTTTAGCCTAGGCTGTAAAGCGAGATTACCTTGATTAAATAAATTAATGCAAATTTTGAAATGAAGACAAAAAATGAAATCGATTCACCCGCTTGGAGGGGCCCGATGCACTCCATATAGAGCGACGCTCCAGATCAAAACAGTGAGGAAATAATCTCAATGAAATGCCATCTACTTAATTACTTACCCCCACCGTGTACGTAGCAGAGGAAAGGGAAGCGCCATAAATTATCAAAACAGGCTACGAAGCCGACGTTCGTCGCTAAAAAATCGAATCGCCAGCTCCACCGTTCCTTATCCACCATAGTACCTGCAGGCTCGACAGCTTAGTTGTATAGTTCAATACGATAGATCTAGCTGACACATGAGGTCTATATCCTACTCTTAGTCAAGATCTATTTCGAGTCATGAATGATGATCGCCGAATTTATGTTATTATTTCTAGTTATGTATTATAGCCACTGAATTCCGCGCTCTCGTGCAGCCCAACCGGGATGCATGCCGCTTGCACATAATTTATGAGATGTCTTGCCGCACCCCATGCGCGCGCAACCAGTGTACAATGTATTAGGAGCCAGAGCATAATTATAACACTGAGTTCCTATATGAAATATATTCATTCAGATGGTCATATCTCAGCCAATACTTGACATATTCACTTGGTTTTCGATATTTAGACATTATGTTTGATGTTCTTTCGGAAAATAAAGAAAAAAATGAGAATTTCTGAAAAATAGTTTTTTTGATGACGTCACACTTCACCACTCTATAGGGGTGCCGCGAGAGAAATGATTATATATGAAGGTCGGGTGACATCCAATTATGAATTGATTCATGTTGATGTGCAGGGCTGTATAGTGTATACAACTCATATTTTGTTATTCAAACATCTAAATATATTTCAAAGATGTTTTAATATTGTGTAAATCATTTTCTCAGACCCGGCCTGCTATAAGCTCCACCAAAAATGATCATAGACAGATGATGTCACAAGATAAATGAGATCTGGAGCATTTTTTTTAGGGTGGAGCTTATGACTGGTCTGAGAAAATGATTGAAACAAAATTATTTGACGTTTAACGTTTAACGATGTTTAGCGACAATTTATTAGCAACATTTGAGCGAATGTTTGCAAATGTTAGCGACAGTTTTTCCGTAGATTAGCAACTATTTGCCAATCCTTTGCCACTATCTGTGAATGTTTGAGACATTTTGCTAACTCCTGGTACTCAATGGGTCTATTATTCGTATGGCCGAGTGGTCGCTAGCATTGGCGAATCAAAAAGAACTTTAGCGACACCGTCTCGTTTGCAGTAAAGGAGTAAAGATGGTTTGTATTCCCAAATTTACAGTCAGGCAAAAAATATGCTATTTTGAAGCCTTTGTGTCACGGCCTGCAGAACGGCGGGGCTCGGGGGCACGAGCCCTAAAGAGAAAAGAAAGAAAGAACGAATGAGTGATCAAAATATGCTCATCTGACCGCAATTACCTGCCTAAAATCCCTAAGCTTACGGGGGCTCCGTCCCCTGGTCCCCACCAAGGACCCTTATGCGGCCCCCTGGATTCTCATCTGACCATTATTAAATGTCTAAAACCCTCATAGGGCTCAGCCACCTGACTCCCCCACCAATATAAGTGACCTGCCGGTGTCACAAATAAGGTATCAACATAATTATGCTCATCTGTCCTTAATTAAATGCATCCTCGGCTGAATCAGTTTGTAACGTCCACTGTCAGCTGGATTACAGGCGCACGCCACAACGCCTAGTCTGGGAGTCGATTTCATTTATAGGCACAATTGTTCAGATAAAGTAATGAAAAAATTGAATAGTAATAATGATACAAAAGTTCCTTGGATGAGGAAGTCCACCATGTAAAGATTGATTTGGGAAAATGAAATAATATGATATTATATTGGAGATTTTGAAAGAACATTATCGAGTATGTCCCTCATTGCATAAAAAGTTATTTCCTAGCTAGCTTAATATCGTTCTTCCTGACTGATTTCATTATTGTAATTTTCTAAAACCATTTACTTGGAATAACATTAAATGATCAAGGAAAGGAGCGAAGGGGGCGCTCCCGGAGGGGGGAGGCAGGGTGATTTTCAAGTACCCCAAAAGTGACAATTTTTACATAAAAGTGCCCCTTTTAATTTGACAAGTGCCCCTATTCCTTCGACTAGTTACCTTTGCAATAAGTGTCCATGTTCTATTCTCATAAGAGCCCTTTTTATCTCTAGTAAGTGTCCCTTTTCAGGTACGAGAAGCGCCCCTTTTCATATTTGATAAGCGCCCCCTTCACTTCTGATAATTTACCTCTTTGAATCCGAGAGTTGCCCCTTTTACTTTGACTTTGATATTTTCACATGTGCCCCCTTTCCTTTCTAATAAGTGCCCCATTTAAAAAAGAGCCCCTTCCCCTTCTCATAAGTGCCTCTTTTCATCTCTGGTAAATGGCCCTATCAAATTCTGAGAGGTACTGGTTTTACTTTGTCAAGTGCCCCTTTTCCTCCTGATAAGTGTTCTTTTCATCTTCAATAACTGACCCTTTTATTTTGACACGTGCCCCTTTTCCTTCATATTTAATGCTTTTTTTCCCTTCTTATGAGTGCCCCTTCCTTTCTCACAATTACCCCTTGTCATCTTTGATAAGTGCCCTGTTTATTTTAACATGTGCCTCTTTTTCTTTTTAATAAGAGCCACTTCCCCCTTCTCATAAATCCCCCTTTCACCTCGCGATCGGTACCCCTTTTCAGCACATTTCCCTTTATCATTAAACGTGCCCCCAATTTCAAGCGGCTAAGAGCAATATCCCCAAAGTTCGCTCGCTCGCTCGCTCGCATTTATAGATGTTATAATTATTTACTTAACAAAGGTCTGTTCAGCCTTCTGTTATGTGAATGTAACCCCATCAGGATTGGGTTTTTTCTTCTTTATAAGTAATTGTTCGCACTGCGACCTCACGATTTTTTTTTTTTTTTTTGCTCGCTTGCAAATGAATTCTCAGACCATCACACCCAACTGCAAGGTACGATGTACAAAGATAAAAAAAATATTGAAATCATCCCTGATAATGTAATCGCAATATAGGGTTAGGCTTATATGCCAATGTCTAAATAGTTGTATATTTTCGCTTTGAGATTTCCCTTTGTAGGCGCCCTTTTTTCTAGAATGTGCCCTTTTTTGTTGGTGCCCCCCCCCCCCCCCCCCCCCCTCTATTTTGGAACTCGCTTCGCCGCCTCTGGTAAGGAGCGATGGGTATATAACTTTTTAATTCTGGTAAAGTATTTGATTTTCATGGGAAGAGAACGGAGCTTATCTATAACAATGGATGAAATTAAACGCAGGTTCAAAGAAAATCTTTGGCATTGATGAGAAATAAATTTCCCCTATATCTGTGTAAATTGGAAAACTGGGAAGTTTAAGGGAAAGCGAGGTAGAGGTGGAACGAAGTCAACAACTTTAAATGTTGACAATGTAAAGAAACCTTAACCAGAAAGCATTCCCTATCCACACAAATAGAAGGGAGGGGAGGGGGAAGGAAGATGGGTAAGAGGGAAGGGGGGGTAAGTCCAAGGAGTAAGAGAAGGGGAAAGGAAGGGAAAGGGTTTTGGGATAGATCGTGTTTTCATAAAAGAAAACTAAAAATTTTCAATTCTGTAAAATAATATTTTGAGAAATATGAAACTCATTTTTTTTTTTTAAGTATTCAGTTTTTTCTGAAAAAACATTGCTTTGTTCTATTTTAGAGGTTGAAATAACTGTCTAGTGCGCCGGGTAATATCTTTCTATCATGTGATTGGGATATATTTTCGTCCTATACAGTGCGTCCCAGAAAAAACGAAACCGAGAAGTATCGATGTTCTATCATAACTTAATTACATCTATAATTAATGAATGATACATATTTGGAAAGATTAGAGTCACTTCCTTCATGTGATGCTACTTAGATGATGCATATTTCACGCATGAGTGATTAAAAGCAATTTGAAGGAAGTAAACCAAAAACACATTTGGCGGGCGGTATCTGAATTTCGAAGAAAATTCACATTTCTAGAAAGTTGAGTTTCTGCCTTTAATATGACAGCTCAATCAGGAAAAATGAGCGAGGAATGACAAAGTTCTGTTTGTTTAAAGTAGTGCTTGCATTTCCATAATTTCATTAAACGAATTCGTTTTCACTGGCTGCCCGCCGTATCAATAAACGAAATTAACAAAAGACTTAACTCCGTTTCGTTGACAATCAGCCGTAGACGAGAGTCTTCATGCATGGCTGATTGTCAACGAAACGGAGTTAAGTCTTTTGTCAAATCTGCTTTTTGCTACGGCAGGCACCCAGTGAAAACGAATTCGTTTGTTAAAATTATGAAAATGTAACGTTCACTCTCCTGCCTTAAACCGAGCTATCAATACCCTAAATGCGCTGTCAATTCCAGTGGTCGATAGCGCATTCTTTGAGATACCTTGACCCTGTTATTGTTGTTATATTGGCCTATATCTATATATATATATATATATATATATATATATATATATATATCATTCTTTAGTATACCGGCATACAAGGAACAATAAAAGCAGAAAAGTCAATAACTACTTTCACTTTCCAGCCAAATATAAACAAACCATGGGTTGCGTAATACCAGCGGTCGATAGCGCATTGTAAACCCTTTCTTAATGAAACCTCGACTCTCTACATCTACCTCTACTTTGACGGCTCTGCGCATTTGCGTCTCTATCACGTATCGATTAATCTTCGTTTCGTGCGGAAAGCTCTACAATTTTTTTCATTGTCACTTAAAACGATGAAATAATCTGCATCAAGAAAACTTCAATTGCACGCATGCAAGGGTCAGTGGCGTTGCAGAAGGGGGCATGAGGTACGTGCCTCCCAATCGAAAGGTATATAACCAACAAAAGGGAAGGGAGGAAGGGAATAGGCAGAGAAAATATGGCGCCTTGACAAACTCCCGTAGGCTACACCCCAACACCCCTCATCCGTAGCCTTTAAATTCGCATGTGGTAGTTGTAGTGGTTGTAGCGGTGGTTATTCACCGAACTGCTAAGAAAGCACAAATGCTTGTTAGTAAGCAACCAGAGGACCGACGGCTTAAGGTCCTCTCCGAGTGACCTGGTAATGAGGATTAATGCCTTACCAAAGGGCAATAAGCGCATCGCCTTGGTTTCGAACCCGAATGTCACTTTGCGAGTAAGAAATATGCCCCCAAACGTTCCACTAGCTGCCCCCCCCCCCCCCCCCGATGGATAGACTCGGGCTTCGCCACAGGTGGAGATGCTTTGTTTGCTCGGATTACTGAACAACATCTCTATAATTAATTATTTTGTCTATCCTCAATCTCCTGATGGCGTCGTTGTTTTTAGCAAAATAAATAAATTAATAATTGGCAAGAATTCCTTTTGTTCAAGCTTCCTGGGGTGTGTTTCACAGAACTTGTCATCAGTGACAAATGACAGTTTTTGTTATAAGCTACTGAAATCCTTGCTTCTGATTGGTTATCAGAATATTTGTTACTGATTTTTGTCATTTGTCATTGAAAAAAGGTCTTTGTGAAACGGGCCCCAGGTCTAACCATAATATAGTGAGGCTTTACTTCATTTCGTTTAATTTCCCTCGCACACAACCTTTTAGCTTGAAGAGAACAGGCCACCATCAGTTGTATTCTTGTTTTAGGCAACAGTTTGTGGAGTAGTATGGTGAGTTTTTGATTTAATTTTAATTCAGTTCAATTTAATTAGAGTCCGATCCAATTCAACTCGATTACTTTCACTTCACATCATGTCAGATCCGTTAGATTAAAGTTCATTTGAAAGGTTCAACCATATTCAAATTGTTCTAGTTTTTTGCATTAAAGTTAATTCAATTCATTCCAGTATGACATTAATCTCAATTTGCCACACTCGACCCAGGTGATGTAAGTATGTACCTGGCAGGAATTAATTCCTTGAAATGCTACAGTGCCATAATGACAGCAATGCTAAAGCTGGGTTAATAATGTTGAGCAACAGGAGTGTCGAGTCCGACAGACAAGAGCGCTGTACAAGAACCCACTATTATTATTATTATTATTATTATTATTATTATTATGTATTCAAGTCAACTCAATTCGGTTGTACAGCACAATGCTCCGGTGAAAACAAAAATCATTCCGCGGTCAATATAATATAGCAACAGAATTCCGGACTTCTAATCTGGCCTAAACACTTTACCTATATAACCCAAAGCCTAACCCTAACCCTTATCGAAACCAAATAAACCTAACCGTAACCTTATTCTTTTTATGAAACAAAGGACGGAGCAATTGTTGCAGGGGCAAGTATCGGAGCAATTGCTCCGGGCTCTATTTCGTCAAAAATGAAAGGTTAGAGTTGGTGTTGCACTAATGTATTAGATTAGGTTTGGGATTTACCAACTTGTCCTAAATATATTTGATTTTATTTGATTTATTGGTTTCTGCATCTTTTTTCTTTTTTTTCATCATACATTTTCATTAAAATAATTTGTTTTTATACAATATTTTAAGTGTATATAATTTTATACAGATAATAAACGAAATTAAACAAATATATTGAATGCATAATTAACATTAGATGCAGGAGGGCTACAGATAATAAGCAAAGTAGCTGGACGTGCCCGCGTCCCTCAACTTAGATACTATACACCAATAAAAATAAAAAAGAGTGTGACTTGCAGAGAAGAAAAGGAAAGGGGAGCGAAGGAGCGTTGGTAATAATACAATAAATCTCATACATCTGCTGATTGAATGCATACATAACACGATCGCTACTACTTTCGAGAAGAAAAAATATCATCTCAGGGCGATTTTGATACACTTTTATATATTCCAAAGAAATCATGTTCGAATTAGGTACTACGTCATTGTCATGTTCGCATATTTCAATAAGTAATTCACAAGGCCATTAACATTGCCCCATAGGTTGATTTAACGAAAGTAGTCGATATCGAGTAACATACATCTGGGGGGTGTTTTAAGTTGAAATTATCATTAAGTTGGACTTAAAAATTATGGAATGCCGTAAGCATCTATGAAATATTTTGTAAAAGTCATTCTAAAAAATGTTGATTCAAATCATTCATATTTTCTATTATCAAGGAGATGTCATGTTCTTCATGTGTAATTTATAAAAAATTCTAAAATACTTGAATTTTTGCTTTTGAATATAATTTATTTTAAGGCTACAAATGGCTCTCCATAACTTTCAAGTCCAACTTAGAGTTAAGTTCGACTGAGGATCTTTGTGAAACACCCCCAGGAGTTATTGCCAATTTCTTAACGTTTGGCTAGTGAAGCACATCGTCTTTACCTAATAGATTTAATACGCCAACGTGCCAAATTTGTCTTAGTTTTGACTGTAAACTAGACAGTCATACGCCCAACGGTCAAATGTAATACATTTATAAAGCTTTTTTCCTGTATGGATTCTGAAAATAACAAGTCTAAAACACATGTATGCAACTCAGTTATGAAAATTAAGTCAATAATCAAAAACTGTATAGAAGGGCGTCAAATTATATTTTGACAAATGCTAAATATTAAAATGATTATAATATTATGACATAATATAGTATGAATTCCTCATATAAATTTAGCTTGCCGATGTCAACATAGTGTGTCTCAAAATTAAAGGAGTATTTGCACTATTCAGTTAAGGTGTCCATACTTCTTTCGAAAGGTGAATGACGAGGTATATATTTCGCGAAAAATAAAGCAGAGAAGATGATCGCAAATGAGAGAAATGCGTTGAAAATTTGGGTCAATTTGGTCTGGTTTGGTTTCAATTAACATGAACGTTACTCGCTTTGTCGCTCTTGTTTCAGGTGTTTGAATAAGCATTATCAAGGTATTGAAGAAGAAAAAGGAAGAGGTTGCCCAAAACAAATTTAAATGGGTTCGGTAATTGTCGCAAGACATGCATTGCCTATCCTCCAAGCGTGTGACGCCCCAGCGTGTAAATACAGTTCATTCCCCTTTTTAAATTAAATATTTTTTGTGTGTTTTACGTACGTCAAGGATGAAAGGTGGACTGGTTGAATTAGGACATTTGTTGAGTACCTTTAGATATAAGCTTCAATATATCACATTCTCAAGAAACAAACATCGGGTCATATCAATATTTCAAAATACAAAACTTGCAGGGTAAGGGTATGAATAATTAAGTATATCACTGACTGACATTGGACTGATTTCTCACCTTCTCATCTAGGCAACCAATGGAAATAGAATTCATTTCTTCATCATCGCCGTGCTAGCTTTATCATTTACAGGTATGTTACTATGACAGAGATAAGACAGCTGATAACTTATTAAATGTTCTTATAGACGAGAAGATCGCTTATAATTTTAACTGGAAAAAAGGGAGTTGGGCAGCGGTTTGATCCCGGACTCGGGATCCACGCCTGGTCATATTACGAAGAAAATATGTTTTATCATCAAAAATTAATACATTTTGCCTCCAATATACTATTTTAACATCCTTATTATACTCTTTCATAAGCACATTCACAATATTGGCAGATATACGTTTACAACAGGTCGATCACTTGCACTCAGTACAGATAGACTCTGGCGCTTACAAAAAGGAGGGGAAAAGGGCGGGAGATAGGATTCTTGAATAACTATGCCCCGGTGGGAAATATACCCCATTCTTTTCAGGCAACTGAAGGGATTTAATTCCTTCAGATATTTTTTTTAATGTCTTCTGTATTATAAGCGCATTTCAATTTCATTATAAAAAAAAAACCATTTCATTCTTTTTTGGGTGTATTCATGGGTATTAATTAGGATTTCTACTCCCTTTAGCTCTGTGTTTACTGCAATGTAAAAACAATTATTGAAATGATTTAGTGAGGGGGATTAAGGGGAATGTTTTCAAGTCTGTACTGTGTATTGTAATAAATAGTATGTATTTTAAAGATCCTTTGATATGAATGTATATTATAAATGAATTATCATCAATATTATAATTATAATATCCATCCCATTAAAGATAAAGTTGAGTTCTGGTCATGTGATTGCATTGTGAAAGAAAAGGTGTGGAATGTATCAGAAAAAGTTGATTATGTAGCATGTAAGTATTGGTGTGTACTGCAAGGTTCTGGAGTCATCAAAATCATAATAAATTTGGCCTAGTCTTGGTTAAGTAACAAGCACTGTACACAGAAATATGTATATGGGACTACACAAAATGGTGTCGGGGCCCAACACCTTGATTTCCATTTATTCTTTAATATTGAACATTCAATGAAATTTTCGTTGATTCTGTGAGAATTTTTTTTTTTTTAATCCAGAACTCAAGTTCATCTTTAAGAATATTTTAGGAGTCTGTCTGGCATTACCTTTTTCTCCACCACCAATAGACAAATTAAATCCTCTATAAGAAGATCACTGAAACACCACGTTTATTTTTGTTTTCAGCATGCCGTTGTCATGGTAATCTGAGTTGCTACGGGTCATTCCCAACATGCCCATCACTGGGGCTGGCCAACGGAGTTTCAGTTCAACTAGTTCAAAAGATCGTAAACACCTCTGGATATCTAGGGGTTTCGACAAACCTTCCAGGATTGGCGAGTTTCTGTAGAATTCCTGGTAATTATCACGAATCTGATCAATTCTTAACTTCTTCTCGATCTGTTCGGTGGTTCTGTATTTGTGTTTGTTTTACAAGGAACAATGGGAGTATTATACCAAATTATTTATCTTGGATACGTCTTTCTTTAAATCCTTCGTTTTATCGCATTTGACGAGCGACAGAGACAGAGAGAGACAGACAGACATACAGAAATACACGCACATTCATATATATAAATATTGATATCATATAATGTTGAAATGTTGTCATATGTTGAATCATCAACGTATTGGCAGTGTTCGATTGTATACAGTTTGAAGAAATGAACACTATGTGAGTGTTTTCGGAGCCCCCACCCCCATTTCTGAAGGTACGTTTTTCGGAAGATTCATGATTCCTAACAATGAAATAGGGTTTGTTATGTCAAAGTTTCGTAATTCCGAGAAAAGATATAGGGTTATATGTCATTTAAAGGGATAGTTGAGTTCTGTTGCAGACGGCGCCACACAAATAATTTTTTGTGAGATAATGAAAAACTGAGTGTCAAATTTGAAAGAACATAATATTTAAATGACAATATCATCTTTATTTGATCAAAATCGGTTCAGAGACTGCTGAAATATAACGATTTCTAATACTTGTGTACCACCACAAATATTATAAATTTGAAAAATTGAAAAAACCGTTGAAAAAAAAAAAAAAAAGCCTTAAAAGCCTTTTACGTCGTATTTCAGCCAATGTCGATGTTGGCTTTTTTGTTGGCATTTACGTTGCTTACAATACCCACAATTAGCCGGCTCGGGTATTGTTGTTTTTAATCAAATAATTAATTAACGGTCACCGTGTTTTTTTTTAAAGTGGAGCTGAATTGGTATGATCGTATTGGCTAAATTTCACACATTTTGGGGTCTAAATTACCTTCATAGCAATTTAGGTTCTATAAGGGCACTATAAATGTCATAGATAAGAATAAGAGCAATAACCATGCACTTTGGAGGCATTTGCGGTCTGAAAACAGAACTCCACTATCCCTTTAAATAAATCTATTTGGAATAGAAGTAAATTTTGAATGGGTCCCAGCACATTGTGGCCTAGCAGGCAATGAGGAGGCAGACTCTTTAGCTAAACAAGCGGCTTCCAAGAACAATATAGACATTTTTGTCAATAGAAACAGACAAGAATTTTTGAGTGAATTAGATGGCTTTTACAAAACTGAGTGGCAGAAATTATGGGAAACTGCCGAGAAAGGCAGATATCTCTACAACACAACGAGATGTAAAATATACGTGTATGATTAAAGGTTATTGTGGTAAGGATGAAAGAATTTTACACCAATTCCGTCTTGGTAAGTGTAGACTTAATTATTACAATTACTTAATTAATAGGCATGATACGGGTCTTTGCGACAATTGTCACATTTTCGAAACTATCGAACATTCTATGTTATCATGCCCTAAATATGAAAGACAGAGGAATCGTATGAATCGCAGGCTTCATGTGACGAACCCTAACCTAAAAGATCTACTTGGAAAAGCAGAAAACTGCTCAATCATTTTTGCCTTCATAAAAGGTACTGGAAAATATAAAGAATTATAAAGTGTATTACAGCATTGTGTTGTTATCATTCTTGTGCTTTTCATGATTTTTTTTTCTTCATAAAAGTAACAGAGTGACGGAGGAGATGATGGACATACGAAAGCCTGAATAAATGATGGCAGCCGATTATTAAATGCGCATACAATTAAACATAAGACACATTATTTATCATTTACTCTATAAATTGACACCGAAAGTTCATGATATTAATTCCAACCAGCTCTAACATTGAATTACTAAAAAATAATGAGTAACGAGCACATTAACCCCCATAATCTTGCACTTTGCCAATAACAAAGGTCAAGATAAATCTTTATCTCACACACTGGGCAACTATCAGAATCACAGAAACGTAGAGCAGCAGAAGTGAGAGCAAGACGCCCTCACACACAGCCTGGCGGAAATCATCGGAATCGATGGATAGCGCCGATAAACCCAACAACAACAACAACAACAACAACAACAACAACAACAACAACCTTTAAGGAAATATGAACGTTCGGAGTTATGAACCTTTGGAATTATGAAAAATGGTTTGTGTAACTACTTGTTCGATTTTTGTTTTGTTTAGATTGTATCAGCAACCCTTGCGTGCACGGTGATTGCATTGAGACCAACTTTGACTACCTATGTCGTTGTCCGAGCAATTACAAAGGCAAAAAATGCGACCAACCAACAGGTAACATTTTGAAGGCTAGTCGAAGATTTTTTTATTTTTTTAATTATCATTACTATTATTATTGTTATCATTATTATTATCGTTATTGTTTTGTTTTTTTGTAAATGTTTTTGTTAGGAGGGGGAACCGGTCTTTGCTACCTGCAACCCAATAGGCATACCTTTGGTAAAACCGGACAAAGAACATTTTGGGAAATTTTGTGAAGTGATAAGATGGCGAAATTATGCACTTGTGGTTATCACGTCTATGGAGAGAGAGAGAGAGAGAGAGAGAACCCTTTTCTTATTCGTAACAGAAACTTCTAATCTGGGGGCGAGATCCTCCCCGGGATAGTTTCCTTGAACATCTCATAAGGAAATATGTGTAATAGACTTAGACCAAAGTTTGATGCTCTAAAATGTGCTTTTTTGTTATAAACCCAAAGTGTTTCATTCAATTTTAGTTTTAATTTACAGAGAGCTATCGTGAGTGTTACAATTTTCACCAGGTGCAATGTGATGTCAAATGATCATTTAACTAATAAATCAAAATTAATTCAAAATTAACTGTGTTTCTATAGGAGAACCGGTCATGTTTGTTTCAGATGCAGACAAAAGGATTTTCGTGTCAGCTGTCCCAGACCTCAATTTCACCGAATTCATGAGTCTGGAGATTAAACTAAAGAATTTCCATTTTGATTACTCAACTCAAACACTGTACTGGACCGACAATAATGGCACTGATATTTGGCGAACAGACCTCATCCGAAAAACGCCAGAAGCTGTTCCGAATGTACCCCAAGGCCCAGGTAAACAGGGTGACTCCCCCCCCCCCCCCCCAACCAGGATAGCTTACTTCTAATATTGCAGGGGCGAATTTCACCGGTAACACAAGATGGGGAATCTTTGGATAAAAGTAAAATGATATCGAATTTGCAGAAACTGGTTGAGCAGTTGTTTTGTTCTAGACGCATTTTTATGAATCAAATTTGGAGACATTAATGGCAGTGCAAACACAAACATTGCGGGACAGATATAAATATAACATCCTACTTGCATTTCTCTTATATATCAGGTGCTTTTAATGACTCGTTAAACACAAACATGAAATTATACGAAATGTTACAGTGTCAGTGATACTGAACGAATTTGAACTATATCCTTTGAACGTATTATTCTTTCTTGAAAATGTCTGGAAATGGGACATTTGATCTGAAAACCGGAGAGATGTGAGTTGGTCTCGTTTCTATGGTACGTTCAGCTCTCTTTTTTCGCCTACAAAATTATTCTGATCGGACCGAGATTCGAAGCTCACTCAAGTTAATATATTTTTAATCATTTTGATTGATAGACGTCTGTAACCCCTCCCCCCCCCCCCCCCCCCCCCCCATTATACTCATACACAACATGGAAGGATAATGACGGGGTATCCAAGTCTTCAGCATTTATAACTATTATCACATCTAGTTCCAACTACAAGCTTGAGCGAACCACCCCCTGCCACCACTACCTCATAGGAAAATGTTCAATATATTTTTTGACCAGAAACACACATATTATTATGGTTATTTTTCCCTTTGATTTGTTGTTGTTGCGCCTGTCTGAGAATTTTTGTGGAGGTGTAAACTGTCCCCCGTCCCGATATATTAGGGGCCTCTTCGTTAACAAATTCCTGGATATGCCCTTTGCGGGAGGGAACCCCTTTAAATAGATTGTACACCCTGGGTATTAAACTTAGATCTGTATTCATCCACAGGAACCATATTGGATGTGTACATCCCAGAACTGTCCCGGAAGCTCTTCGTCACCTACTATAGCCCGACAGGTAAAATCGGCGCCCTGTCTCTCGATGACGATCGCGTAGGAAATTACACAGATTTCGCCCTGGATATATATTACTGCAAAGCCATGGTTGCTGATGATGCCAACAAGTAAGCTTTATATTTGTTTGCAAGATATAAATTCCTTTAACGTAGTACAGTCAAACCTGTCTTGGCCCTGTCTATATCGACCGCCCAAGAGAAACACAAAAAAATGGTCTTTGTAGACAGTTTCCTTTAGTAGGTGTTTCAATGAGAAACCATTTTCAAGGGAGAAAACAAATGTGGTCTTTGTAGATAGGTGATCACTAAATCAGGTTTGGCTGTAACTTCATTTGCCTTCTATTTCTTTAGTAACGTTTCGATGGGCCATATTAGCCATTTGGCAAAATCGTTGGGGTGCCACGAGTGTCTATCGGTGCAAATATTAGGTATTGATTAACAATTGTAAATTTGCCACGTTTTTTCTCCATGTCCTCAAATATTGATATGCCAGAAATCCAGTCTTAAATCAATCATGGAGAAGCAATATGTCAGAAAGATAGGAATACGAGGAAAGATGGAGATAAAAATGTTCTTTTAGAAAGAAAAAAGTGGCACAATGATATTTCGGTTCAGTGGCACACAAAGAAAAAAAACCCTTACATGTTAACATAGGTCCATAGCCATGGTTGTGTGATGGAGAGTGAAGGAGGGGAATCGAACATATTGAAGATAAAGTTGAGTTCTGGTCGTGCGATTGTATTGTGAAAGAAACGTTGTGGAATCGATCAGAAAAGGTTGATCATCTAGCATATAAGTATTAGTGTGTACTGCAAGTTTCTGGAATCATCAAAGCACTAGGGGGAGGGTTCATCCCTTTCATCAGTCTTTTCACACTCCCTTTCCCCTTTTCCTTCTGTTTCTCTCTCTATCATTTTTCCTTTTAGTATTCCCTATCTCTCTATTTGATCCGGGGAAGGGGTGCGTCTGTCCGGACTCCGAAGGGTAATTCTTTCAAAGGTTCAAGAACATGAATTTCCCATATACCAGGGAAATAAAGTTCATAGTTCCGTTAATTTATTGCATTAATCCGAGGTTCATTAATACAAAGGTTTATAATTCCATAAGTGAAAAGGGTCCATTGTTCCGAAGGTTCATAATTTCGAAAATGAAATATGGTTCGTTATAACGGAGGTTCGTAATTTCGAGAAAACGATATCGAATTCCATGTCATTTTCGGAATTAACAACCCTATAGTCCATTTTCGAAAATATGGACCTTCGGAATGATACACCTGTAGTGGAATTCTTAACCTTTGGAAAAGCGACATATAACCCGTGCAAATATCCAAATATCCTCCCTCTAACTATGTAATGGTTGCATTTATGGATTTGTTTAAGCTATCTCTACTGGACCAGAAAAAATGGCATCGATCGTAAGCAACTTGATGGAACAGGAGAAACCGAAGAGGTGTACACAAATCTTGCCTTCGCAAGCTTCTCTGGACTCACATTCGACGCAGAAGGTATATAGAATCCAAAGGCGTAAATCCAAGGGTAGGGGTAGGGGTAAACATCCCTCCCTAACTTTCTTTAGGGAGGGAGGGGCGGAATTTAAAAACACATGCTATCCCACATTCAAAGTAAAGTTAAAGGAAATTTGATGTTAAAATAAATCAGTTGTTGAAAGTACTAATAAAGGTGACTCTAATATTGGTGACAATTTCTCTTTACAATGCTATTTAATTAAGGGAAATTTTGATTTGAATTTGATTTGAATTTATTTCCGTATAAAGAGAAATACAATATTCGAAACATTACACAGTATGTACACATACGAGATAAACGGTTGGATGGCCCTGCTCAGCATTCACCAACATGGTGGCGCTGTTCCACCGAGGGATCCAGAATTTGATACAAATATATAGAAACAGGTATAGAAGGTCCTAAAATGAGTCTCTTTTATGGACAAATTCTCACATCCATCTCTTTGAGAGTCGTGTGTCAGATTGCGACACCCCTCCCCCTCTCCTCGACAAAGATTTACACTACTAATAGAATCTAATTGTCATAGATCCTGTTCCGAAAAATCCGGCCAAACATGGAATTTTACCTATTAAAGTTACTTAAACCATGTCAGTCATAGACAAAAAAAGTTGCCAGTCTAACTGTATTGTCGGGCTTAGACCCGGAATAAAAAAAGTGGGTCAATTTCACCTCACCTGCTCCTATCATCAGACTTTATCAAAAGGACTTGAAGGAAATAGCATATCGTACAATACACACCCTAACCTAACAAAATAGCTCCTCTGAGGGGTTGTCAGACGCTCCTTTATATTGGTTTCATGTTGTCGTTTATTGACCATGGACCAAATGGACCAATTATCACAAGGAAAAAAGAGAGAGTATTTTGCATTTGGGAAGGAGGTGCAGTAGTTATGCTTCATGTGTTTAAGTTGCTTGTTTTTGTCCTTGTGAGCAGTCCGAAAGTTGGGGCACGCGATAAGTTAGTGCCAAATCGTTGACATTTTAACAGACCAACACAAAAACTTGTATTGATAGGCCTACCAGGGAGGTGTTTTACATACCCTGGGCCTACTTATCAATTTTTCTCATTTGTCATTTCTTTGCCTGTTCACATCGGTATGGTCGTAGGAGGTCGCATCCTGTTCTGCGATGGCAGTGGGAGAGGCCGTGCCTTCTATCAGGACGTATCCACGACCAGCGGGGAAATCGGTCCTGCTGTCGAGCTGACACCTGGTCAATCGGGGATCTCCTTAACATTCAATCCGAAGGATGTTGCCATCTTGAATGGGAAAGTCTATTGGCTTGACGTACCAGCAAAACTTGGAATCATGACCCATTACGATAATGCAGAAACACTCAGCTACACTGAGTATAATATTACAGCTTTCGAAAGTGTCCGTCGTTTGTGCATCGCATACGTAAACTAACAATTTACAGCCATAACCTAATCGGTTGCTTTAAAAATATTGAGAAACTGAGCAAAAATTCGTCCCTATGTTCACGAAATGATGGTAGTGAATGAAAATCGCATACAATTTGCGTGCAGATTTTCCTCACTGCCGTCACTTCGTGAAAATAGGAACGAATTGTTTAAGGAAAACCAGACATTAACCAAAACTTTTGATGAACGTTTTAATAAATGTAGATCGCTATCTTATTTTGGAAAATTGTTATATGATTAACTCTGAATACAACAAGTTTCAAAAATATCCCTATTGGTGTTCATAAAAAAAAATCCACTATAAAGGTCAAAAGACCGACTTGGAATACCATGTTGGGCCAAATACACAAATCAGGTTCGTGTGGAAAAATCAGATATTTAGGATACTATAGGATATTAATATCATGCACCACAGCTGCTGAATAGGGAGCCTATGACATCGCAGCCCCATGACAGAGTTGCCCATTTTTCTGCATGAATACCGGCGATCTAGCACAGAAATTTGTATTTTCTTGGTTGCTTTTTTGAAATATTCATGTTTTTAATGAGTTGTAGAAATACAATTATTTTAATTAAATTGGACTGAAATTGTTACCGTTTCTTGTAAATATAAACAATTTTTTTTTTGTTTTTTGTATCATTCAGATAATTTTCCATGAGTTGCGATATGATACTTCTTTTAATAGCACGAACAGCACGAAAATCCATTCCATATTAAGTGATACAAGGTATCAGTATGCACCTATTTATTAAAAGGGGTGTAGCATGACGAGACTAAGTGTCTTTCCCGTGGCCTGACTAGGGGCCACAGGCGCGTACGCAGGATTTTTTCAAGGGGGGGGGGGGGGGGGGGGGGGGGGGGG